GAAATGGGATGGGGGAATAGGGTGGAGCAAAGAAAAACCAGAGTGCAATTCAAACAAAAATGAAACACACGCTCTCAGACAACCCATGGGGGTGGGATGCTTCCCCCACCCCAGGTCCTAACAACATACTTCTTTATCAGAGGTTCGTTGTCAATCAATTAGCCCAGACAGCAGGGGTCTGGGAGGTGGGGGTGCCCAAGGAAACAATGGGCCTCCCTGTTGTATTACTATTTAATCACTTTTGCTAAATAAATAGAGCAGCCCTGAGGTGCTGTCATGTCAAGGGAATTTATAACAACAACAAAAAAAAAACCTTCATTTTTCATTGGTCATTACTTTTTTCCCTTCAGGACAAGAGAGGGTTATTACTGTAGCCTTAAGTTCCATCTTTGTATTTCTTGCCTTTGATTCCCCCTCGGACCCTGCCACTTTCTGGCACTAATTTGTCAGGCTGAACAAAGAGGGGATTTGTACCTCCTGTAAGGTCTCAATTAGGAATGGCTTCTGCTGTATTATGTGCCATTCAGAGAAGACACAATGCCGGTAATTACAGGAATTTGCACTAAATGGCTGAAGAATTCATAGCAAAACTTTTCCCCCCTTTGGTTTTACCCCTCCCCAGGGCTAGAGGGGAAGAAAAAGGAAAGCAAAAAGCTCTTAATGCCAGAGAGATGTAATTACCAACAGCAGTCCCAAGAGGTTAAACAGCAGCCAAAGGAGTAAAACCATAAAAACTGACAGTTCCAAAATGGTGGTAGGATCCCCTCTGGCTCTGTGTTTCTTCCTAAGCTTAACAGTTCCGACTTCAGTTCAGAATCAGGGACATTGCTGCACAGTGGGCCATCCAATTTTACCTCCAGGTTACAAAACAGTCACACAAGGAACACTTTTAAAGGTGAGCTCTGCATCTTGTCACACCTATAAACAAGTCCTGGGGCCCTGTGATTACAGCGCTCAATTGCTAGGTTTCTTGATTGCTGGTAAATTATAGGGAAACATCTGTGTGTGCTATGCCAAGAAAACTATGTATCTATTGAGTGTGAATGGATGTGGAACATGAGTTGCTGTCTTTTAATCTAATTTACATAACATTTATGAATAAATCTGTTTAGAAATCCTCAGGCACATATTCAGAAATAATGTATTTTAGCATTAATATTTTAATATCAATCCTCATTGCTGAAAATAATTTTTTTTATTTTTTGGTACCAGGAATCGAACTCAGGACCTTGTGCTTGCCAGGCAGGCACTTATGTCGCTGAGTTATTTCCCTGGCCCTAAACATAATTTTTTAAAAAAATTAATTTATTTATTTATTTATTTATTTATTTTGAGATAGGGCCTCACTGTATAGTTCAGGCTGGCCTTAAACTCACAGTGATCTTTCTGCCTCAGTCTCCCAAGTGCTGGCATTACAGGCATGAGCTACCATGTCTGGCTTTGCCAAATGTAATTTTGAATTCCAACCAGTAATTTCACTAAAGAAGCACATTTTGCTTTCTGCTACAGAGATGTTCTTCAAAAATTGAACTTAAGCACCCTCAGAGTTCTAGTTCTTCAATATTACCCCAAATATGGGTTCCTCCACTCAAGAACCTTTGGAGTAAAACATAAATTCAAAAATAATTGAAGATTTGCAATTTCATGTAGTTCTACCTGACATTACCCCAACACTTCTGTAGTGTGGCATGTTGGCTTCATTTCTGTCAACTGCCATTTGACAGCCATTGATGTGATTATTTCATTACACAGCTTGTCTACTCCAGCTGACTGCAACTATAAGTTTCATGAGGACAGAGACCACACCAGCTTTCCTGTAGTGCCTAGGTGTGTAAGTCTCTGGGTAAACAAATGATGATAAATGGAAGAGGTTGAGTTTCATGGTTCAGGAAGTAGGACTAGCCAGTGCAAGCCGCTGGAGGCAGGCAAGCCCCTAGTTAAGCTCCAGGAACAGCAAGGAGAGCTGGATGGATAGGACTTCCTAAGCTTAGGCAGCTATGAAACTGGACAGGAAGTGATGGAGCAGCCACATATAATCAAATATAACTAAAAAAAGTCCAAGCATGGGGGCCTGCCCCTTAGCTCAGTTGGTTAAGTGGCTGCTTCAACAAAGCAGTCAGGCTCAGGTTGCGTGGTTTGATCCCCAGAACTCAAGCCAGCCAAACCCCTGCCCTGACGGCATTCTGAGCCAGCCAGGAAAAAAAAAAAAAAAAAAGTCCAAGCACATGTTAAGAAATATGCAGTTAAGTATCAGCATATATTTTTAAAACCATACCTCAGGCATTTCTGGATGGTCATGGTCTATTTGCTCTGCAGGGACTCTACATTTTAAAGAAGACTATAGAAAATCCTTCACTTACAGAAAGAATTTAGTGAAATAAAGCCAACTGTACTATTTCATAGATTTAAAAGACAACATTTGTGGTTCCTCTAAACAGCTATTAAGTGATATCATAATAAGGAGCAGCTCAGTGTATCTACTTTTAAAGTCTACTCATCCAAAATATTTTTTAAAAAGGAACACTAGGTAGATAGAAAAACTTATAAAGGGCCATCTTACGAAAGCCAAGAAATACTGTGAAGTAGCTTCTCTTTAAAATAAGACTTGAAGCTCAAGCTCACTAAAAAACAATGTACTGGAACTTTTGGCATTTGGCAGGTAAACATGCTATGCAGCCAGCTTTTTCATTGCGTGTGTTTTTGTGAGGATAAAAAGTTAGATGACACGGGTACAAAAGCCAGAAGCAGCTGGTTGAAATTAACTGTGTTTGTGAGAAATGCAGATCAATATTTAAAGTTCCATCTGCTATAATAATCTGTGATATAATGAACAGTCTCCTAAGTAATTTAAAAAACAGACGTTTCCTAACATTTTTTTTCCTTTTTCTTTCGAGACTCTGCCCCCTACAGGAGACACAGTATTCCTACCTGAAGTAGGAAACCAATTCTCCATGCACCAACCAGTATTAAGAATGAAAAGCAGGTAGAGGGGCCACATGAGTCACCAAGCAACTCAATATAGCACTCTCTCATGCAAGAAGCGGCATTTAAATGAAACAGATTTGTACTTACTTTGAAATGTGTCACACTAGATGAATTAAAAATTTCCCCAACCCAAATTAGAAATCTAATGCCCCATTAGAGCTCCAGACCAAAGCACAAAGGTAAAAGCTGTGCAAAGCAAAGCAGTTTCAGACTTGTCACTTCTGTCCCCAGAGTGTCCTTCTCTTACCCTTCCCCAGGCTGTCCTCCAAGTAGACAAATAGAGTGAGCACCAAATTTAGAAGCAAAGAAGTATCCTACTACCCGGAACCTACAGCAGCTGCCAGAAAGCTCTCTTCCCACCCATTACATATTTTTTCTCTTCCTTTCGGCTTAGCTTCCTTCTGGCTGCCTCTTTTCAACTCTTTGTCTTTCCCATTTTCACTTTTCTGACTGCTGGATGCAGCAGCTTTCCTTGACCTATCCTTTCTCCTCCTTTTGAGTGCTAAGAACACAAGAGTGTGCACTGCCCAGGTTGAGGTAAACTAGGTGACAATCCTTATAAGCTATCTGAGGCTTCTCTTTACACTTTTGCTACAGTGTTTCTTGATTCATGTATTCTAGTGTTACCTCTAAGTTTTTGGGCAAATTATAAATGTTCTCCCTTATTCCAAAGCATAAATCCTATTGGTAATCTAATGTCATATAAGCATTATTATAACTTTAGGAAGACACAAAGTTAGCAGTTAGCAAATAATTATTGAAGGCCTGAACTTTGAAATATATACATGTACCAATATAAGATACTGGAACACTAAAAGTGTTTGAACTATGCCAAAGTGTCTCCTTATTTCAGAATGATTTCCTAAAAGTAGCTGGGTGACTTGACACAAGGTCTGTCAACATCCACAGTCTCACAACCTGCTATGGTTTAACTGGCTCTCCTCTAAAAGAGTTCTGAAAATTTCTGCTTAATACTCACTAAGGCCCTCAGGGCAAAGCAGGAGTGAGTCACATAATTCTCCCCTTTAAGTAAATTATTTTTCAGTAGAAAAGGTCATCATCATCATCAAACTAAACTTAGAATGGTTTTTAAAATGTTCACCACAATTTGGCTTTTTCAATCAAGGAGCAGGAATAAAATTTATAATCTGGTACTGGCTAAAGGTAAACTTCTTGTTCATTTTTTAAACATATTGAATTAAATGCTTAAAACCTTCTCAATCAGATTTCTGATTAAAACTATCTTTGTGGGAAAAAATTTATTGCCCCAAATTGTGGAGTTCAGTGAAAGGAAAATAATTTTGACCTAGGTTATAACAGATACAGATGTGGCATAATATATATTTTTTTTTATTTTGCCATTTGGAGGAAGGTAGGAAGAACAGGCAGTAGACAGGAAGCATCAGCAATAAAGTTTCCAGATATAATCAATCCCTGGTCCTGAACTCTACCTTATTTCAGCCTTATACAGCAGTCCCAGGAAGCTTGTGTTTCCTGGGGACGAGACCCAGTCCCTGAGTGATGCAGGAGTGATCTGATAAATAATCCTCCACTGTTCCTTCAGCCATCTGCATGCCTATCACTGCTAACTTTCTAGATTCCACCTTAACAGGACTTGACAAGGTTATGATCAACAGCAGTTACCAACGACCAGCATTTGCTTTGTCTCGGGAGTGTTAGTGGTCTGCTTCGAACCCAAATGTCTCTTGATGCAGTCCCACTGACTGCAACTCGAATCACAGGAAATTTAGGAAGCCCAAATTCCAGTCTTCTTAGGCTCTAGCCAAATCATTTTGATTTAGTAGGGTATTTCATATCTGTTTCTATTTACTTTACTAACATGGTCCGAGTGGTGTAAGTATGGACAGACTTAAAAATAGCAAATGCACTGGAGGAGAAATGCTTTTCATAAACAGGGTTTCTGAGAGTCTTAGGAAATTTTAAAAGAAAAATTCCAATTATGGGATTTAGGGTTGCTCTTTGATCAACTTTTATCCTGAAAAATTGCTCCATACCTGCACATTTGAAACTCTGAGCAGTAAGTCCTCGCTCCAAAGATAAAGTTGTCAGGATGCTTAGGAAGCTGGTGGTCACGGACTGACGTTTGTTCTTCCTGAGTTCATGCCCCTCCACTTGTTCCTTGGGTTTACTCCTCAATGTGACTTGCAAGTTCTGCTCCCAACTCCTTGCCGCATTGGCCGCTGTCTTCAGAGCCTCCATCCACTCCTGAGCCCTCTGCCTGGTCTCGGCTCGGAGGCGGAGGACATCCTGGGGGAAAATGACTTGAAAGCAAGAGTCACAGCCATCCAGGTGATCTATCTGGACAGCCAGACACACATCTACATTGTAGCTCAACAGGGGATCCTCATCTAGCTTGCCGGGCTGAAAGGCCAGAAGGTAGGCCTTGCTTAGCACAAACGTAAATGCTTTCCAGTTATTCTGGACAGTCAGTCTGTAAAGTGTCCCTGATTTGAGGATGTTTTGGTACTGCTTGGGGCTATCCAAGCCAGGGGATGGTGGTAGCAGCCCATGGGCTTTCTTCTGTAAACAATGATTCTGTGTACAGTTAACATGGTGGCTGAGCCCAGGTGAGATCACCAGTTCATCCTGTCGTCCCATGTAACCAGGCACAGCAGCCTGCACAACTTCCCAGAGCTTCTGCCCCCAGTCCAAAGCCTCCCACGGTGACTCTGCTTTGAGCTGTAGCTGAGTGTTGTCATAGAGGACAGTATCCACCATCCTGGCCTCAAGCTGACCCAAGACAGATATGCTCTGGAAGTGTGAAAGCTGGTATGTGGCACAGAGGTTTTGATTCCCACTGTTGTCAAGACTGTAGAAGCATAAGTTATAGGGTGAGAGTTCTGCGTAACAGCTTTGCCAGTAACTGTCGTGGTCCTTCCTAATTTCCAGGTAACCCTTCTTCAGAATGTTTGGGAATGTTTGTTTGTGCTCTAAAAAACACACAAAAAAAGCAAAGTATTAATTACTTATGAAAGGGTAGATGCAAAAAAACAAACAACAGAGATCACATCTTTCTGGTTCAAACTAAACAATACAGAAGTAGCAAAATTCCAAGATAGTACCTAATTGCCAAGATGTAGCTAAGGAAGACTCTCTCAGCTCAAAACTGAACTGAGATGGTGGTGAGTGAGTGCAAGAGTAAGTATGGAGTATGCAGTATCAATATGACTGGTAGATATCTACAGAAAAAAAAAACAGAAATATTGAATACCTAAGAATAGGTACGCCCTTTGGATCTAGGACCCAATCACACTTTGCCAGGATTTGTTGCTTCTAACTAAAGTAAAGTAAAGTACTGAATATACAAAAGGGAAGCCTCCTTCTGCCACACAATTCCCTGCCAAGTTTTTTCCTTACGTTGGTGAAGCCAGAAAGGGTCAATGAAAGAATATGCAAAGTGCTGCTCACAAACTCCTGTTTCTCAGAAAGGTCCATAGAACCAATTTATGGGCCTTTTGTCTAGTAACTTGCTCCCACCAGCTCACTGTTTAGATGGTGGTTTTCTCTGTGAGCCTGCTTGTGCCCATACTATTCCCTTAGCTTATAATGTTCCTCCCTTCTTCAACCAGTAACCAAATATTTACCTTCTTTCAGAAAGAAAGTGTCCTGAACCACCAGCCCCTTCCCCATTCAACTGTACATATATACCCAAGTCATACTGGGTATCCAATTATATTATTCCGCTATGATAGGCTCTTCATCAGACCACATTAGAGTAGTTTATTTAAATGTCTGAACAAATACATTTCAAAGTTTGTTTTTAAAATGTCAATATTTTTCCATCTGACAGTGAAGTTGCTTCATCTTTATGCCACAGCACATAGTGTAATGCCTGGTATAAAATAGGTGCGTAAAAAGTCAAATTAGAAATAAAGCTAACAGGGCTGGTGAGATGGCTCAGTGGTCTAAAGCACCTACTTAGAACAAGCTAAGCAAAGCACAGGGACCACGGTTCAATCCCCCAGCACCACATGCCAGCCAGCCCCGCCCCCTGGTGGGCTGAGCTGGACACACACAC